GGGTTAGAACTCAGATAGGGGAAGGGCTTAAACAGCCCTGCAAAGGAAAAAAAAAATCCTTTCCCACAGGGCCACAGAGATGTAGAGATGTGAGCCTGAATCTTAGCTCTGGTTCCTGCCGCTGTGGGTAGATTATTTCCCTTGGTTGAGCCAGTCTCATCTACAAAATAGGAGTAATTCTCTGGGCTGTGGGTAAGTTAAATGAGATACTATGGCTCAGCATGATGCTTCTCCTGACATGAAGCTAACACCTGGTAGGTGGTAGTAGTTATTGGCCTACTCTTATGTTGGCCTCTGGGGAAACCTGGGAGGTGTCAAGAGGCTGGGGAAAGTTTAGACCCTGAATAAACTCCCACAAACAGGAAGTGATAGGCTATGCTCCAGCTGACCTCACCAGTTCTCTGCCACTTACCATCTAGCCCCAAGGCATTCAGCAGCTGTGCGGTGATCCCAGACAGAGCAAAGAAGGCCACAGAGATCCATGAGGAGATGCCCCACATCAAGTGAGACATGGTCTGTGGAAAGAGCAGTGCTGAGATGAATCCAGAATTAATGGGGCTCTTCTCCTCCAAGCCTCACCACCACCACACAGGCAAGGCCTGGCAGGAACGTCTCCCACCTGCTTCTCAGCCAGAGGTTTGCCCGCCAGGGCCTCGCGGAGGGGTCCCTTCCACAGCCACCTTCCAGTGCACAGGGATGGGCAGTAGGCCATTTCTCCCTGAACTAGAACCCAGGACATTTGGGTCCTAATTCAACTGATTTGCTGAACACTTTGCTGGTGGTAGTAGGTGTATATGGATGGGGAATCATCAAATCCCTGTTGTTGTCACCCTGTAAAATTGGGGTGCTCCTAACCTCCCAGGGAATCATGAAGGTGTGTGAAGTAATGGCTGTGAAGGGCTAGGATGCTTCAGTGAAAAAGTAGTCAATCAGCTCTACTATGTTATAGATTTTATAAAAAATCGTCTCAGCCATTTAGTTCTACCTATCAAAAGTATGCGACACCTCCATGGCCAGGTAGCTCAGTAGGTCAGAGCGTTGTACCCATATGCCAAGGTTTCGGGTTCAATCCCCAGTCAGGGCACATACAAGAATCAGCCAATGAATACATAAGTAAGTGGAACTACAAACTGATGTTTCTCTCTCTCAAAAAAAAAAAAAAAATATGCGGCACCTTTTTTGGGATGCCATTAGGTAGAAGAGAGAGCCCTGCCTTAAACCCCTGAGGCAGCCCCCCCACCCCCACTCCTACAGATGAAGAAATCATTCAGGTCTTGATATTTTGCCAACTTACAACTTTTGGTCAAATGCAGATCAAAGTCAGACTCTATAGTCACCCAGTGACATGGGTTTGTAAAGATAGCTCATTTCCCAGCCTTTCTGGCAAGAAGGAAGGGGGCAAGAACAAGGGAAAGGCGGGGATGGAGTTAAGGGCCTTAGGGCAGAACTCAAACAATGGGAATGCAAGAGGCAGGTACAGTCTGTTTAATTTTGTGGAATTTGTGGCTCTCTGCACCAGTGATTATGACAAACAGAGGATGTAAAGCCAAGAACGGTGACCACAAACAACATCTCCTCGTTTATCTTTCTCATTGTGTGTAGTCACAGCAGGGACCACCTTCCTTACCTCTGAAACCAGGTGTACGGTCTCTGGTCCAATCCAGGCATCCAGTGTTCCCCGCACAGACCGACCTATCTGGGTCAAGAGATCAACTGGGACCTCCCTCTTCTGCTGGTGTGGTGGCACAAAGTCTCGAGGATGCTCAGATGATGCTGAGTGGAGGAGGATGAGTGCCACTAGGACCATCAGGACCACTTTGAACAGAGGCTTGCCTGATGGCCAAGTGCTGCCTGAACCTGCCATGACTGAGTCTGTAGGGAGAGAAGCACAGGGTGAACCAGACTGACACAGAAACCCACTCTCAGCTACGACCTGCCCCAGCACCCTCCTCCACCCCTACCCTGTTAGTTGAGAAAAGCAGAACTGGGACTTCCAACTTAAGCTGGGCACAACCGTCTGATTCACGGATTCCTCTTTCCCATCCTTTCCCATTGCATATTGATTAACCAGTGAGTATTCCCCAATGTCTTAGGGTGGATGAGAAGATCTCTCTAATGCTTACTCCAGTTCTAGAAATCTGAAGGCCTGTCTCTGTGTCTTAGGTGCTTTGGGCATAAAAAAATAATTCTAAGACTATAAGGCTTTGTCCCCAAGGAGTTTATAATCTACTTAAGATAAAGCTAATATAAAAAACAACTTAAAAAATAGCACACAAACAGGATTACCACCATATAACAATATAAGGAAAAGTGCCCAGTTACATCCTCAAACAAGAATTTAAGTGCATATATGCCATCTGCTCTGCAGGACCATCATGTGAGGTGGGTATTATCCTCCTCACCCTTATTGGTGCAGATGAAAGAAACTGAGACAGGAGTTAAGTATTTGCCCAAGGTCACTGGACTAAGTAGAAAGGCCAGGAGTTGAATCCAAGCCTCTGCTCTCAAATCACACACTCTGCTGGAGTGCAGGTAATACAGCGGATCTCAACTGTGGCTGCTCACTGGAATCACGTGGGAGCTTCACAAAGGACTGATGCTGCTGTCCCACACTGAGGCTCTGATGTCACTGTCTGGATGTCCCTAGGCTTAGATCTCAAAGAGCTCCCACTCTGTGGAGCGCAGAATGGAGTGTGAAATTGAGACCCACAGACTCAGAAGGACCTCAACTCCCCAGCCCGCAATGTAGGCAAAAGGTTAAAGCACAATCTTTAGGGAAAGGTATTATTATTAATAAAAAGCTAACTATGCACCACCTATCTCATTTAATCCTCATAACAACCCATTACGGAGGTATTGTTATTATCCCTCATTTGACTGATGAAGAAACCGAGGTAGGATAAGAAATATGTGGCAAAATCAGGATGTGAATGCAGGTGCAGCTGACATCAGACCCCTTGCACACACCACCCTGCCATATGGTCTCCAATGTAACTCTCAGAGGTGATTCAAAAGTCACACAGTAGCTTATTCATGAGCTAAAAGAACTTTGGCATCTACCAATCATCTCCATGGACCACTGGTGACAATTTACTTAACCACTTTGGGTTCTGTGCTCCGATATTGTGTTATGTGATGCTATATGCAAGTTAAGACACAACAAGTACTGACTCATTGAAGCAGGTGAGAATCAGCCAAGACGTGTTCCAATACCAACTTCTCTTTGCCACTATGCTTGAGAAATGTCAGAGAGCCTCAGCTTCAAGGCTCAGAAATGAGCCTGTTGCTCCAGGGAGTTTCCATGATTCAGACCTGAAGATCAGAGGCTAAGCCATGCCCCTGAGGTAGGAGCAGCCAGGTGCTTGAAGTTTCTGCAGTTACCAGGGCACCCAGAGAGTTGGCCAGAAATCAGAGCCATCAGGATGGAGAAGAGGAAAGAGAGGATGCTCCCTTTCTTGCTTAGTGGGAAGGAGGGGAGGGGGAGTTCAAGAAAGGGTTATTTATAAAAATATCGCATTCGGGCACTTTCTGGTCCTGAAACAGCTGCTCTAAGTCTCTCTTGAGACCTGTAAAATCAAACAGGGCTGCAAAATATGCAGTTCATGTGGAAGGACCCCAGGCTGGGAAGCCTTCTACTCTTTTTGGCCCAAATCAAGAACCAGATGGTTCCTGCCTGCCAGTGGTCGGAGATGAGGAAAGCACCAGCCAGTTCCTGAGCTATCTGGGTCATAACCGCACCAGGGACTTAAAGAGCAGTGTTGCTATCTTGGGTTGGATTCTATATCCAAGGACCTCCACCAGCAGGAATCAGATGTCACCTCCTCCATTCTAGAAGGTCAGGGTGACATGAGCTGCTTCCCCCACGGCAGCCTGCTGAGTTCTGCGCCAGCCTCCACTTTCAAGCGGCCACCTGCCCCAGTTGAGGAGAGCTGGGGGACCTTGAAATAAACCCTCCACATGAGGCAGGCATTGCTCTGCCAGCTGACCTTCTGAAGTGCATTAGAAACCTAATCTAACAGGATTTTGGAGTGTGTGCCCTTTGCAGATAAGAGTGCAGATTACTGGCTGGTCCATTTCTTTGAATTGTTTTCTTTAACAGGAGTCTTTCTCTTTTCTCCCAGGTTAATCCCAGGCAGTGAAACTCTGACCCATCACCATTAGGACTCCTCACTTCAGCCCAATCAAACACTTTTATTAAAGCAAGCCATGGTCAAAAGCAGAAGCAGTCTCGGGCTCTGAAAGTATGTCTTAAGCATCTTCACCTCCTGCAATGGCTAGCCTCAAGTAGTAGGCACTCAAAGATAACAAATTGTGTGTGTTGCTTTATAATTTACAAAGTGCTTGTTATTTCACCACTTCATTTAACTCTTAAAACAATCTTATAAGGTATTGCTACTCTCCACATTTTATTCAGAAAACTACGGCTTAGAGAGGTCAAGTGACTTGTTCAAGTTTACACTGCAGAACAGGGACTTGACTCCAGAACCCAAAATCTAAATCTTGCCCTTTTGCTCATTCCACACCCCCATGCTGCCTCTGTAAGACATGGTCCCTGCCCTCAAGGCACCTAAAATTCTCCCCAGTATCAACAAGCTCAAAGTGAGAGGACATCCAGACTCCCAGGATGAGGCTCCACACCAGGAGATGCACCACCTGCTGGGCTTACAGGTCACGGTTTTGTACCAAGCAAGAGGTATGAGAACAGCAAAAAATTGGGACTAGGCCAGCCACTGCTGTTCAGGAAGCTGCAATATGGCTCAGGCAGGGCCAGGAAAACCCGGCTGAGCGGGGAAAACTGCTTCCTTTAACTGTGGTAGTGAGAAGGCACTATATGTAGGTGTGGTTTGCTAAGAGGGCAGGGTGGGGCGGTCCACATACCCCCCTCGCCAGGGCTCCTTCCCCTGCTTAGTTTCCTCTCACACTATGAATCACTACATGGCAGGAAGGGCAGCTGACTTAGTGCCCTCTTCTGGCCCTGATTTCCTCATTGTTGCTCACGGCTGCCCCTGTGGAGAGCAGTGGTTCTCAACTTGGGTTGCCCATCAGAATAGTCTGTGGAGCCTGTCGAAGCAAGAATGTCTGCCCCACCCGAGCCAACTATCTCAGACTCTCTCAGAGAGGGCTCAAACTCTTGTTTTCAGAGCTCCCAGGGATTTCTGATGCATAATCAGCAGTACAAAGCCCTAAAAGTGTACCAGTGTACAAAGGACCCTTAATTTTGGCGCCAGGCTCAGTTCTGCCACAAACTAGAAGCCACTACCTTGTGCCTATTAGTTTATCTGAGTTTCAGTCTCCTCAAATATACAATGGGGTTAAGCGGGGTTAAGAGTTATTGCAATGAGTTAACATGTTTTTGCAAGAACTCTGTACACTGTACACATCTATTGAGATGTTGCAGTACAACACAAAAACAAAAAATAATAATAAAAAAATAGAAAAAACACACAAAGAAATGTTCAGTACACAAATTGCCAATATACCACTCATTACATTGTAGCAGAATTTAGCAGTTTATATGCCTGCCTCCCCCTTTAGACTTTGAGCACTTTGGGGTCAGACTTGACAACTAACTTTTCTTGGAACCCCCAGAGGCTAGCATACAATGACTAATACGTGCTTGTTAAATGACTATTAGAAGCCTGCGAGGAAGCCGTTAGGGTAGCAATGGAGAGCCATGGAGAGGTGGGAAGAGGGGTTTATTTTAAAGTTGATCCAAATATGCAGCGGCCACCCAAGGACAGCTGTGTTGAAAGGAACCTCCTACACGGGGCGAAGCTGCCACTGAGGGGAATAAAGTCAGTGCCCTGGCAGATGGGGGCAGCCCCCGCTAACCCTCTCACAGCTGCTTCCCAGCAACTGTTTGGGGGCAGGGTGACAGGCAAAGGGGCAGCTTCCCAGCCGCACTGAGCCCTCCCCAGGGCCCAGCCTACCCGAGACAGGGTGTCAGTGGCATGCGCTATTTCGAACCGTGTGTTCCCTGCCAAGCCCTTGCTGGGTGGCGTCTCTGGCAAGGGACCTGGCGCGGCCCATGGGTTCGGGTACCGGAGCGGGGACTCGGAGAGAGGCCGCAGGAGGC